CTGCTGTTTGGTGCTTGGTGTACAGATTCAGAAACCTAGCCTCTAGGTAAGATGTAAGGACTGGTAAGGATCTGTCCCCAAACCCTCTATGGCCTTGTCTGAGGTGAGGGAAGGAGATGACCTGGATGTTCTCTGGGACAGCTCCTAGTCAGGGAACCCACTGTAGCAGGAAGGAATGTCACCTATACTACCCATTCCTTCATTCCTTGAGTATTGAAAGACTCCTTTAAGACAGGCAAGCACAGGATTCTGCACTGGAACAGTGGAGACACTGAGGAGGCTGAAGCCAGAAGTTGTCGCTGGCTTTGCTCAAGCCCAAGTTCTCCATGAAGCTTGCCTTCATTCTATTGGAGAGGAAAATCAGGGTGGGCTTCATGGAGAAATCAGACTTGAGCAAAGTCTTGAAAGAAAAACAAAGAGGAATGGCATTTCAAACCCATGGTCTCTCCATTACTCTGAGATTATCAGGCACATTAAAAAGAAGCCAGGAGAGGGAGATGTGTAAACCACAGATGAGACTTGGAATGGCCAAGAGCTGTCCCCATCACTCAGAGGGCACAGGGAGGGGCCCCTAACTCAACATAGGAGAAGGGCTGCCTCTTCTTCAGGGCCACAGAGAAGCTGGTGAGGGCATAGGGCAGCCACTGGTGAGTCGGCAGCTGGGGAGGAAGGATGGAAAAAAGTCTTTCCTGCTAGCTTGACTTTCTGGGTGGGACGGAAGGCAAGTTGACCTGCTGGAAGAAAGCCAGAGTAAGTGGGGAAGAGAGTGGGGAAGGTTTGAAATAGGCCTTAGAACAACGGGGAGAAAGCCACCTGGGGATGGTATAAGGATTGTTGAGCAGAGCTGCAACCCCTGCTGAGGCCAGAGTCCATGGACGTGTCATGGCAGCAGTCCGCATGGCTAGGCCAGTGTCTCCAGCAGTGCTCAGCAGCACGCAGATGGCGGGCAGAGGGGTGTGAGAATGAAAATGGAAAGATGAGGGGTGAGGGGTGGGAGGTGGAGGGTGGGGGTGGAGAGAACAGGCAGCTAGGACAGTGGGGCACTGAGGTTAGATACCAGGGGATCTGGCTGGGAGAACAGAAAGGGGGTGGGGAAGGGAATTTTACTGTGACTGAGATGGGGGAGGGTGTGTGGACAGAGCCTGTGATCAACGCTGAGAGGTTTCACTTGAAGGTATCAGAGGGCCCAGTCCCAGGTGAGGGAGCGTAGAAGGCTATATAAGAATAGCTGGCTGAAATGAAGCAGATATGAAAGTCATCTGCCTCCAGGTCATGCTTTCATTCACTCATTCATTCATTCAACAAATATTTATTGAGCGCCTTCTATGGCCAATCCCTGTACAAGACGCAACATGTAAGGATGAACAAAAAACTTGGTGCCTGACCATCAGGGGCTCGCCACCTCTCTGGGGAGACACATTAACACTGTGACAACACCCTATGGTGACTGCAGTGCATGAAAATGCTCAGGTGCAGTGGGAGGGCACAGAGGGATCTTCACCCAGATAAAGAAGAGGTGACATTGAAGTTGAGCTTTAGTGATGGGTTAGGAGTTGCCCAAGCAAAGGAAGTGGGAAGGGCTCTCTAAGGAGAAGAGAGAGCATATTCCAAGGAGAGATCAGCATGGAGTGTTCCAGAACCACTGGCCATTTGGTGAGGCTAGAGGGTAAAGAGCAAGGCAAGGACTAGGGAGAGGTGAGGCAGGAGAAGCAGGATCCCAGAGGGGACTGGAGGCTTTGAAGGGATTTTAGCAGAGGAGCAGCAGGATCAGATTTGCATTTTAGAAAGATCACTCCGGCTGCAGTGTGGATAATTGATTGGAGCAGAGCAAGGGAGCAGACAGAGAGAATGGTGAAAGGCTGCAGGGCAGCGGGGGTGGCGAGAAGAGGGCACAGTCAAAAAATAGTCAGGATTCAAAATCAGCAGGACTTGATGCCTTTACTGGATGGAGGCAGGAGAGGAAGGATCTAGGATGCTCAAGTGCCCTCAACTAAGCTGGAGGAAACAGGAGTGCATTTGTGGGGACGGGGAGAGAGGAGGATCCCATTTTGAGACAGGTTGCATTTGAGGAGCTTGAGGACAACCAGGGGACATCCACTGGGCCGGTCGATATGGCCAGGGGCAAGGTCAGGGCACCCAGATGTGGTTAAGAGGTGAAGACAATTATTTGAACAGCTTAGCAGACTCTGCTTTGTTTGGGTAAATACCTCGATCTGCTGCTGGGGGTAAAAGGGCAGAGCCTAGGGTATGGGTGACCTTAGGGACTGCATAGCCACAAAAATGGCTAAGCTGCCCTCTGTGAGTTGTAACAGGAATTGTTTGGTCCCGAGAGAAGGAGCAGAGAATGGAACAGGGAGGAGCTGAGAAGGCAGGAGGCAGGTGAAGGACCAGTAGAAATTCCCCTGGCAGGTAACAGAGGTGCCCACTGCCATGGGTATCATCTGATTAGCTGTGGAATAAACCTGTCCTCCATCTGCCCCCTCTGTGCCCCAACAGGCCCATATCCTTAGTAAAGTTAACTCTTTTCACATCTGCTCTCTGTGAGTGAGGTTTTAATTGGGAATGGAAGAGAGCTTCATTTCACATCTAGGTTTATGGGGCACTGAATAGTGTGTCTGTCTAGAGGTAGAGCCTGCAGGCAGAGGGGCCCAGGAGAACAGGAGCCCGTGCCAAGCCCAGAATACACAAGACCCTCTGAAGCAGGCCTTGGTCTTGAGGATTGAGTGATCTTGTTCTAGCTAAGCTGACATCAGGGATATGAGCACCCTAGAATCCCATGCTCACTATTGCTTCTGCACCTATGGCCTTCAGGTTGGGTCTCTGCCCACAGCAGTCAGGCCTATCTAGTTTGGAAACTTCCTGGGAGGTTCCAGCTCAGTGCCCTGAGACCATCCCCCTCCCCCGGCTGTCAAGTGAGCTCAGAGTGGAGCAGGCACATGAGCATCACCCCTCATGCCACCCCTACACTCCTCCCCCATCCAGACCCATATCACCCTATCAGCCTGTTGTTTGCCAGTCTGACTGGCAGTCCTGGGGCGCCAGTCTGACTGGCACAGTCCTGGGGCAGGAATGCAGTGGGGGAGCTTCAGACGAGAGCCAGCAAAGCCTCTGTACAGTAAGACAGCCAGAGCAGGCCAGAGACAAGAGACCAGAGGAGACAGAGGAAACCAGAAGCAAGGGGAACACAGAGGCCCTGGGAGCAGAGGAAGCTGCAGCCAAGGCACCAGGACCTGGACATAGTGGAGGCAGGAGGGCGCAGCTTGGCTGGGATGCTGGAGTGCCAGCTCTGCGTGGCCATCGGCAAAGCGCTGTTTGCCGAGTTCCTGGCCACGGGGCTGTATGTGTTCTTTGGTGTGGGTTCGGCTCTGCACTGGCCTTCGGCGCTTCCCTCTGTGCTACAGGTCGCCATTACCTTCAACCTGGCCACAGCCACGGCTGTGCAGGTCACCTGGAAGACCAGCGGGGCTCATGTCAACCCCGCCATGACACTGGCCTTCTTCGTGGGCTCCCAAATCTCACTGCCCTGTGCTGTGGCCTATGTGGCTGCCCAGCTGGCAGGGGCCATTGTGGGGGCTGCTGGCGGTGGAGCTGGTTCTGACCCTGCAGCTGGTGCTCTGTTGTCTTTGCTTCCACGGACAGCCGTCAGGCATCAGGCTCCCCAGCCGCCATGATTGGGATCTCTGTGGCATTGGGCAAGGGGCAAAGTGAGGGCAGTAGGGGCCCTGAAGGCCAGGAAGTGTCCCTCCCTGAGTTCCTCATGTCTTGGGGTTAAGGCTGTGTCCCACACTCCAGAACTAGGATATGGTGCTGCAGATGCCAAAGCTGGAACTGAGGTTCTCATCCAAGACAGAAGGGACCATCGCCTTCCAGGCTCTTCACACCCCGAATCCACAATCATTCCCCAGATCTGCTTCACTGGCTGTTCCATGAATCCGGCCCACTCCTTCGGTCCTGCCATCATCATTGGGAAGTTTACAGTCCACTGGGTGAGACCCTCGACTGGCAGCCACGGGGAGGGGAGAGGGCTCAAATAGGGGCATAGCGACTACTGTGGCTTTCACCAGCAGTGGGGCCATAAAGACTTGGGGAGACAAGTCCTCCTGCCGCAGAACATCTTGACCCCCGATGGAGTTTTCTCTAAGCTCAGAAGACCAGGGAGAGTATCCTGAATTTGTACTAAATTTACAACTTCAATAGCCCAGGGTATCCGGTGGGCTGGCAAGAAATGGGCCAGGGCAGGAGCCGCAGCCTTGGCCGACTTCAAGTCCTGGCTGTTTCCTTATTCACTTTCTCCAGCTGGACCAATTTCCAAACTTGGATAAAGACAAACAGAAATAGACACACACACACCAGCAAAGACAGAAATGGCACTAGCCAGGGCTCCTGGCTGGGACAGTGGAGGCGAGAAGAGCAGGGGAAAGGAGTAGTGAGGATACTGGGGGAGTGGTGGGTGGGTGCAGGACTCGTGCTTCTCAAATTTTCCACCTTGTAGAGATCAAGGGGTGCTGGGAGACCAGAGGAGTCAACACTAGGGAAGCAGGCAGGGGTCCCAAAGCCACCCTGTGATCCTGACAGCTCATGAGCCAGGCGCCTACTTCTTTCTGCCTCCTCAGATCTTCTGGGTGGGACCCCTGACAGCGGCTGTCCTGGCTTCGCTGATCTACAACTTTATCCTGTTTCCTGACACCAAGACCCTGAGCCAGCAACTGGCCATCCTCATGGGCACTACAGAGATGGAGAAATTGGTAGGGGTGGAGCCCCAGAAGGAATCCCAGTCCAGCTCAGGGAACACCGAAATGGAGAGTGTTATGTCAGATGGCATAGAACTTGGCCCCTCCCCTCGGGCTTCTGAGATGAGCTGTGTAGGTGGGCAGCGTATCTTCAGGTTTTCTAGGGTGGTGGGAAGGGGGCTTTCAAGTGTGGGTAGCGGGGCGTGGCCTCTTGTCCTAACATCTTGGGCAAGGGATGCTAATCCCTCTCCCTGGCATTACATTTCTAGATAGAATCTGGGGAGGAAATTGTTCAGTTTCCTCCCCCTCCATCTCTTAATGGGACAGGGCAGAGGGAGGCAGGGGAATGCATGATTGCCTTCCACTTCTCTCATCCATCTGGACTGCGGATCCTCATGTCTTGAAAAAAGAAATTATAGCCCAGAAAGCCACTCTGCTTATAGGCTGAGGGCTAAAGGGACCTTAGAGAACCCCAACTTCTTACCCCAGCTGTGGGGAGGAGAGGCCAGACTTCTCAGAAGACTCAGCTCCTCAGAGGGATGTCTCTGCTCGAGTGTGGTTTGGGGGGAGGGGGGCACCTATGGCTCCTCAGACTGAGGGCTTCCTGAGGACAGAGATTACCCTCTCATCGATCTTCCTTCCTCATTCCTCATTCCTCCAAATGCCCAGGAGAGGACCCCACCCTTGGGAAGAGCTGACACAGAGAGGAAGTTTTCTCAGGCTAGCAAGGGAGGTTTGGGCCAGACAGGCCTTTTCCAGGGCAAGCCCTTCCTGGGTGTTTGCCTGCCTTCCACCTCACAGCCCCATTCACAGAAACAATCCTGAGGAGACAGCCCCAGCCCGGCCCTCGGCCCCTGACCTGGGCCGGAAGAAGCAAACTCCGGCTTCAATCTCAGCTCTGCCAGGATCCCCCAAAAGCTGTTGAATAAGTAAGTCCCAAGGATGCTAGGAACTCAGGAATGACCCAGGAAACCATGGTTTTCTGTTCAGTGCTTCTGAAGGACTACTGGAGTCTCTATTGGTTTGTTAATATTCACAAGTTGCTGTAAACTGACTCTGCCCATGACTTGGGGTTCTATCTAGATCTTGGCTTTCCCAGCCATCAAATGGGCACAAGCTTCCCCCAGGCACTGCTGTGAAAATAAACAAGAGATTGGAAAATGTTTGGGTAAGTTAAAATGTTAGAAAAACAAAGCCAATAAATGATGATTATTGTTGCTATTATTCTAATTATTGGGTTTGAATACAATTGCTGATGAGAAGAAGAGGAGATGATTGAGAGGGAGGGGGAGAGGTTTCTCTCAGTTCATCTGCTCCACTTACGGGGTACCCTGCCTTCTTCCTGGGTCTAGTGACCTGGGAACTTTGTGTGTGTGTAGATGGTGGGGGTTGGGGGAGGGGTCCTGGAATGAATAGACAAGCCAATAAGTCAGTTCTTCTCATCTCTATGGTGCCCATCACCATGGTACCTCGAGATGCAGCAACCAAATCCATAAAAAAGATAGATCCTTTTCCATGGTGTCTCCAAAGGGGCTGTGGATGGGGGAGGGGCTACCAAAGTCTTCCAAGGACAGAGTGACAGGGCCCAGCCTGTGACCAGTGCAGCAACCAAGTCCCCGGTGCTCTTGGCCATAGCAGCTGTGCTCAGCATTCTGGAATACTGTCGGTGCAGAATACTATTCATATTTCTCCAAGCTGGGTTGTACTCATCTATCTTCACAATCTCTCAGAGCCCAGGGCTTCTTGTGCCCTTTTATGAGCAGGGACAGCTGGGCATGTGTGCGTGTGTGTAGGATGTGACTGATTTGTTAAAGGTCATCCAGCTCAGTACCACAGCCCCCTAAGGTCTCCCCAGCTCCTAGCTTAGAATTTTCCAAAATAGTGCTCCAGGGGGACTTATATAAGCTGCAGCCAAAGAAAGGGAAGAAGCAGGAACTAGAAGGTTGAAGAGAGCAGGGGGTGGAGCTCCTGTAGTAGGCCCTTAAGCTCCTAGACAAATCATCTCCCCAAGTCCCCAGAGACGAGCCCACACTGGGTGCTTAATAAAAGTTAGACGAATGAATGATTGAGGCTGGGCGGCTGGGAGGGAGGGGAGGCAATAATTTATCAAGAGAATTCAGGACTTACAGCTCCAATTGAGCCAAGATGACAGCAGCCCAGGAGCCTGCGCTTGCAGTAGGGGTAGCTGGGCAGAGGGCACACGGCCGTACATGAGTCCTCACTCCTACTCCAGAGCCGACTGTGTAACCTCTATCCCAGAAACTTCAGGCCAAAAGGGTAAGGGTGACTGTCTGAAGAGAAAGCTGGGGGCTACTTTCACAAATAGTTCTTTGAAGCTGTGCAGTTGGAATAGACTAAATAAGAGAAGACAAGCTTCATGAGAAGTGAGGAATTAGGTTAGAGTCTGAAGAGCATTCAAAGTTAGACAGGAACGAGTAACCAAAGGTGAACTTCTCCTCTGCAGCCCTTTAATAGGACAGCCGGCCATCTGTTTGGATGAGGGAAGGGCTGGCCTTCTGGGAGCCAGATCTCGATGATTCCAGCCAGGGGCAGTGGGCTTCATGGTCACAGCCCCTGGGTCTGGGTGGGGGGCCAGGAGCACAGGGAGAACAGAGACCCAACCGGACAGACCCTTGGCGTGCACTCCCTTCCTCCTGTTTGTCAGGGGAAGTTTTTAATTAATGGTGTGTAATCTGATCTGGCCCTTCTCCCTGCTGAGCACTGCCTTCAATCAGCAGAGCCATCTGCAATTGCAATTCATAATTCTCCCCAAAGGGAGGGGGGCTCGGGACGAGTGCCTTGGTGATTAATACAATTAGCCTTTTATGTTGATGATTGTCTTAGCAGGAGCAGATGATGCCAGCACAAAGCCTTCACCATTGGTTGGCAGGAAGCCCCTCTCCACTTCCCACCCCCACTGCTACCTCGGGGTGTAAAGAGGACAGGTCTAATCTGGGACCACACTGTGGAAGGGGGGAGAGCCCACAAACGGGTCAGGCTCTGGGACACATTTGGGCTCCTCAGACTGAGGGGAGAGAAGCAAGACTTTCCAAAGAAAATCACTTTGACCTAAAGGATTCTGTGTACCAAGGTTAAAAGAAAAAAAGACTATACAAAAGTAGACTAGGGGTTGAAAGGGTTGAAAGAGTTTAAATACAGGCTTGGGCACTTATAGCTGTGTGAACTTGAGCAAGTTACTTAAAATCCTGAGCCTCACTTTCCTCCTCTGGAAAATGGGGTCTATTCCTAAGGAGTCTGGAAGAATATGCGGGATGTATATATATGTTCAGCACCGCTCCTAACATATAATCAGATCTCAATCAGCGGTCGCAGTTTTTACCATCATCACGGTAGATTATCATTCCCTCTGCTGATGAGTCCGGCTGTCTCCTCTGCAGTTTCTAATGCAGTCCAGCTATTACTAAAGAAGGGATCACTTTCTCTCCATACCCCAGGCTTAGTTTAAGCAAAGAAGAGAGTATGTGAGCATGAGTGTTTTAGGGGAGCAGGATCCCAGAGGAGTCAAAAATAAAATGCAAGAAAGAGAAATAAGAGCCTCCTCAGAACAGAGAAGTGGAGCATTGGAGTGATCGTGGCTGGAAGCTGGTTTGGAGGAGAGTCAGGGAATGAGAGAAAGGAGGCTGGGTGGGTATAAAGGAGTGAAAAGGAAGGTTTTGAGTATCTGGAAATTCATATGGAAGCTAAGTAAACAAAAGGGGAGCAGCCATCAGAGATGAGAGTTTAAGAAGCAGCCCAGAGCAAAATCTGTGATCTCTGATACTGAGGTCAAGTGCTCTGGAACCAGCTGATTGGGGATTTTGATGAGAGACTCTGCTGGGTCAGTCAGGAGAAGGAATCACCTCAGTCCCTCGGGGCCCCTAGTGCTGTTCCCCAGCACAGTGCAAGAAGAGTGCTCCTTTATCAAAAGAGATGTTAACCTGCAGCCAATGCCAGGCCCAGCAAAGTCAGGGGCAAGACAGGGAGGGGAGGGAGTGGAGACCTTAAGGGCTAATCAAGATGAAGCATCCAGCCAAGCTGTGGCCACTCAGGCAGCTGGGGCAGGGGGTCCGCACAGCCAAGATCTGTAATCACTTCTCAGGGAGGGGCAGCTACACTGAGGAGCAGTCACATATTTAGAAAAAGATATAGAGGGGAGGCATGGTTCGTGAAGGGGATTTATGAGGGTGGGGCATCCAGTGGCACTAATAGGCTGCAGCTAATGGGCAGTAAAGGGAGAAAAGAAAAACTGTTTCAGAGCTCTGATTTAAGTCAGATGAAGGGGCAGTTATTGCCAGAGCTGGGGGTGGAGGAGACCAGAGACAGAGGCAGGAACCAACAACTCCACCCCAAACCCATGGACCAATAAAACTAGGCCCAGCCAGGCCAGCAGTTAGGGGTGTCTGGTTACAGAACACCAGGCTGAAGGTACTTCCTTAGCCTGGAATATGCTTCCGGGCCCTCTCTAGCTGCTTTGTTCATCCTGCAGTCCAGCTTGAATGTCCTCACCTGCTAGGCTCTCTTAAGCCTTCAGCCCCTCCTCCGAGCTCCCACAGTGCTCTGCACCCACCTCCATCCTGGCACTGAGCACATTATTTCCTAGTTATCTGAACACCTCTCTCTACTGAATAGGAAGAGCTTCTTAAATAAAATTGTATTTTTAGTCTACTTCTCATCTCAGAGCAATGGTTTCCTTAACTTGACTATCTGTCCTTTTCTTGTCAATCCAAAAACCATGGCCTTCCCATTTCAAGGGAGGAAAACCCTCTGCTATTTTGTATTTGGTAAGCAAATTGGACAAAGGATTGCAATACACACTCTTAACTCCCTGCCCAAAGAGAGTATCTAACACTCTAATCTCTTTTGTGTTAAGGCACAGCGAGTGTTTTAGTCTTATATTGTGATTTAACTCCACCAAGACATACTATTATTTTGGTCTTGGCCTCACCGATTCACAATGGCTTTCTCCTGCTTCCACAACTCAGGGGTCACACACAATGGCTCTGGGAGTCATGAGTGGGACAGATATTGATCCTATCCTACACATTGCTTGTCTGCTTCTTTGTGCCAAATGTCCTGGGGACTGAGACTTGCTTTTCCTATATTGCAGCTTCCCTCAGACCTGAGGGAATTCTCTGTTTTAATCTCTCCACAGCTAAGTAGCAGGTTCCCTGGCCTCCACATCTGGTCTAGCTAACAGCCTGTCTCCTCTAAATGGCTAACACTTCCAACCCAAATAACATTGATGATAAGATGCACCACTATTTTATGAGCCACTAAGAAAGAAAAATCACATCATTATATTTGTATGATTCCATTGATTATAAGATACCCCAATTCTCAGAGATAGTAAAACATGTTTCAAGTGCACCTTACGATCAAGGAAAACATTTCTCCTTCAAATCTTGGCTCTTTTAGTCAGACTTTAAAGAAAAGGGGAATGGAAAGCCAAAGGGAGACCACTCTGGAGGGTCCCAAGTCTTCTCCTTCCTCTAAGGGGGTAGAAACTATTGCCCTTGCGTGCTCTCAACTCCTCTGCACATCTGCTGCTAGTCCAGTTTTTAAATATCCAGGCCTCTGAACACCTCCTCTCCCTCAGCGCCAGGAGGCTACAAAAGAGAACTCCACTTTTTTCAGGGAGACAAAACAAAATACAGGCCAAGCCAGGACCACCATTTTTGAGTAAATAATCACCTAGTACTTCAACACCGTTTATCCAACTACCTCCCACCCTACTGGGTTATCAGCCCCAGAGACTCCAGGCCAGTTCCATAAGATGCCGAGATTAGTCATTTCCTCCTAATCTGGCTAAGACGGCTCTGTTAAGCTGCCAACTGCGGGCAGTTCCCGTTAAAGCAAAGCAGCTGGAAAGGGCTTAGCCCTTTAATGCCAGCAGCTGTATCTCCACAGTGCGGCTGCTCTGCTGAGGGGCTGGACTCTGTCCAGAAGCATCAGGCGTTTAGCCCCAGTCAATGTATATTAACCTAGGAGGAGAGAGCAGCCAGCTCTCTGAGAGGAGGGGAGGTGGCTCATTTAAGCACCTCCATCTCCAGGCTTTCCTATCCAATGAGGAAGAAATATTCCAGCCCCTTCATTTCCCTCGCTCTACTAAAATCTGGACAAATTGTATCATCTCACAGGCAGAAAGCTCTTTCTCTATGACGGGAGCAACTCTATTTTGAAAACTCACTTAAGGACAGATCCACTTGTTAGTTCTGACAACAAAAAACCTGTAGGCCACTAACCACGCAGATTCATTCTCCTCTGAGCTGATTTTTTTTTTCTTCTGAGGCCTTAAATAGTATTCTGACCCCCAGATATGCAAAAGTATGGACAACAGACTACCTCTTAGAGAGCACTGGGCCCTAGGGTTGATGAGGGAGAAAGCTGAACAGCCCTTAGAAAACCCTGGCACAGAGCAGGCTGCTGAAGAGAGATCACTCGAAAACTTCTTACTCAAAGCCAGATGGTGAACATGAGATGGGGTGAGAGCTAATGCCACTCAAGGGAAAAGCCAATAAGCTAATCCACTGACACGTTTCTAGAAGCAGGCTGATGGCTTTGGTTCAGAGATTTGCCTGTTCTTGGCTCTGAGCTCCAGAGCACACAAGATGCACATGGGTGGCCGGAGAACAGACTCCCACCAGAAGCAACTTCAAGTACCCACATCAGCTCTTCCTTCTCCCACACAGAAAACAGCCCTGGATCACCAAGCACAGGTCTATTCTACCAGACAATAATTCCAACCATTACGACACTTTCCTGTCCCAAATGCTTTTCATAGCAGCCTGGGCCCCCAGCTCTTTCCAGGTCATCTGTTGAGTAAATAAGCACATCCACATTCAGCCCTGAGTTTCTGGAATCATTTACGTACCTAATAATATATTAAAAAGCCCACAATGCTGAAGAAATCTGAAATAGCAAGCACCACAGCTGACCTCCAGAGTGGAGCTGCAATGCTCAGATTTGAACCCCAAGGAAACTATAATTAGTTTATGGGAATCTGAGCCAAATTACCTCGCTGAATTTGTCAGTTTGGATGACATCACCTATCCTGCCTACCGCACATGGGTGTGGGGAGATGAAGTAAGATAAATGAAAAGCACTCTGTATATTGTAAATCACCATATTACTTTTCCTAGCGGCTTTGTGGGGAATCGGTCCCTAAGTCCATCTTCACTGATGACCAGAGGAGATGTGAAGTGGCAAGTCCTTTATTAGAAGTCTAAATATCTATTTACATGTGTCTGAACCTAGCACACAGATGGTGTCCAACTGTGAGATGTGAGAGTAATGCTATATAAAAACAATGCAACTAAATGAAGCCTGGCAAGAATTAGAGGGAGAAGGTAGACAAAAGGAAAAATTTCTGCTTCCAACCCTGAGTCCGTGAAAAGTGGCCTCCTTTCCCATCCCACATGACTGCAAAGGAGAAGGCTCCCACACACTGCAAGGTTATTCCTGGTGATGTCAAGCTGTCTGCCGCCTGACTTCATGAATAGAAACCATCAACAAATACAGACTCTAAGAACCAGAGTCTAATAAATTACAAGTTAAGGACCTCCTGACCTGGGGCCTTCACTTATTTACAAAATATGCCAGCTCCAGGGAGCAGATTTTTTTAAACTATTAAATTCTTAGGTTAAGTGGCCATTCTCCAAACCCTGTTTATACTAAAAGCACAATGACTAACATGCCCCAATCCTGCATGCTTAGAAAGCTTTTCACACTAGTGGCTACAACTTGAGTCATGACCAAGACTATCATCAAAGCGCCTTGACCAAGAACCTACTATGTGAGCTGTGCCAACCTAAACACTGAACTCTGTGCCACCCCTGCTTCTCAGATCTGGACTGCAGAACAGCTCTCTCTGTTCACGTTGAGAGTCTAAGAAAAGGTGATGCTTGATTAAGCAAAACACTCGGTGTATCAGGCACAGCAGTGGGTCTCCCAAATGCTTTTCCAATAGGAACTCATATGCCATATGTATATGGACATGTATGTGTTTGTCTATCAGTCTGAAGCTTGAGGTAAGGAGGCCCTACTGGAACAAAAAAACAGCAAGCCTGGTATCTTTGTTCCTTCTACTCACTCAGCATTACTTGTCACTTTATGCTACCCAATAATTTAAGCATGAATATAAGCATTCGAGACCCCTTTCAATGCCACAGGTTCAGTTCATAGCCAAAAAATGACTATTTTTGCCACAGTCAATCAATTGAGCACCCTATAGTCCTCTGATCAAAACTCAGGTGACTTCTTACCTTCTATTTCTGCAAGCAATGAATTCACCTTTTTAAGAAATCATTAAATACCCTGTAATAAATGCAAAGTGTTGCTGCTGAATCAAACCATGTAATGCTTGCCCAGTTAAATAAACATCAAACTTGTCTTACATAGACTGAGAAGGGATTTAAAGATTCTGGTTATTAGCAAGTGGGGCAGTAAAGTTAAACTGCATTTAAGAAGGAGTAAGAGGCAGCATCAGAAAAGGTTAGGAGCAGGAGACAGGGGTGACAGTCACTCCAGAACACTGTCCCTTTTCCATAGATCCAACACAAGGAAGTATAATTTAAGAAAGCCCTCAAAAGACAGGCTGTTCCACATGAAGTGCTGTTAAAGAAGTTGGAGGTGAGTACATATTTCCCTTTGCTAAGATCAGAATTATTTTCATGGCTAAGGTCTCTTGGCCTAGCCCAAAACTGAGAGACTGGCTGCCAACACTTGACACATAGGACCATTTCCTTTTTCGTTAATGGGCCATCAGTTCCTGCATAGGGAAGTCTTGCCTTCACTAACATTATACAATCCATTTACTTCTTCTACATTAGTGACTTAAAATGCACCTTGGGGAGATACTACAGAACAGCAAATATGGAGCCAGGCCAACAGTAGGCTTGCAGAGACATAAGAAAAGAGATGGCATCTAGGACAAAAGTTTAAAAAACCCAAACCTAACAGGCATGTGTGTGTAAAAGAGGGGAAGGGGAGATGGGACCCATCCTCTGTCAATTTGCTAAGGCAGATGGGCCCTGCTGTGAGAACTGCCACCTTTTTTCCCTACTGGGAAAAAAGCCAGTAGGTTGCCTCCTCTCTCCACAGTTACATATTAAGCCTGCAACTGTTTACGTTCAATCTCAGATACATTCTGTTCACCAGCTTCAGAGTTCCAAGTGCAGGTGCCCTCAGTTAATCATCCCGGCTCACTCCAGAGTCACTTCCAGCAGTGAAGGATGTTCCTTCTGGGCAGTCAGCCAGCCAGAGTCATTTTTTTTTTTTTAAATCTGCACCATTCTGGTCCCTAAAGACTTGTTTAAAAGTTTGTTTTTTGTTTAAAGTAGTTTCTTCAAATGAGAGGATAACAATCATAGGGACAAATCTACCATTTCAATTTGGCAATGAAAGAGACTGAATAAGAAACAAACTCCTGGTGGTGGTAAAGTCTGGGTGGGAGGAGGGAATGGAGATGAACAACAGACGCAAAACACTTTGAGGAAAAATATCTTCTAAAGAAAAAAGGCGTTGAATGTTACCTTCCAGGACAAGAAAACCAACTTCACATTTGTTTTGAAAAAACTATTTACTTTTTTCCAAATATTATTCCAAATATGTGTTTTACAGATAAGGGTCAATATGGATTAGAAACATGCTAAAGAAGAAAGCATTTTTATAGACACTGAAAGTAATTTTAATAGAGAGAAAAGCTCATATTTATCTAGATGTGGCTATGTTACACAAGAGGATTTTGGCATCCAAAGTGCAAAGACAAAATGAATGTGGCTTTTCTTGCCACACAAAATATTGACAATCTCCCCTTATAGCCTACTCTTGTTAGTTGGGATGCCAAATAGATAGCATACTGACCTTTAGGGCTCCAATGGACTAGGGAGGGGGTGCAGGTGCATGTCAAGCATCAGAATGAATTCAACTTAAGAACTAGCTTTGACTCCAACCAGACCCAAAGTCCAGCCAGAGGCCCATCAGAGATAAATATAAGTTGTAGTGTCACTTTTACAAGGTTGCGCCACTTAACACTATAAAACTTAATCAATCCAAATTAAAGCTAAGCATACTCCCATGACTAGTTCTGTCCTTACCCTATCCCATTCTTATAAAGGCTCCATGTTATAGCTCAGTTCATAATGGAGGCATGGGAACTTCCAAGTTCTCGAAAGGAGCCATCCTAAATCCTATGTCCAAACCTTTCGTTACCCTGCCTTCCTACCTTCCACCTCCCACCCAGAAACAAGTCAGTCTTACCAAAGAGATAGAGCTTTTGTCATTGTCTCGTAGAAATTAGTTCTAGATAACATCAGAGAAAGGTTATTCCATGAGCAGCATTTAGCTTTAAGCCAAAGGGACAACCCCCCTAAGCCCCAAAAAGAATCACAATGAATTCCATACTACCCCTCTATGCCTGTAAAGATCTCCCATCTAAAAGCTCCCAACGACGGTATAAGGTGTGGATAGTATGTTACTTGAGGAGAAGGAGAGGGAGATATATATAGTTTTAATAAAACCCCCATGCACAATTAAACTTGATTAAAAGCCTGGAGAATGCTAAAAGTAGTAATGAGTACAGGAGGCTGCAAGAGCAGAGAGTACAGGTGCACCCTTTTTAGCAGTCAGTAAATGCTGGCAAGTAACAGGAGACGTGACTTCACTTGAGCATTGGAGAAGCAAAAAAGTTGCCTTGTTGTCCTAGGTTGGTGGCAGACTTGCTTTTGCTCCCAAATCTAAAGAAAAAGAATGAACTAGAAAAGTATTCTATAAAAAAATGATAAACAATTCTAACATGACTTGATATAATAAACTAAAAGTAAAAAACCCTCAATAACTACCCTGTAAGCTACTCTGTCACCTGAAATGAGAGAGGGGAAACAGTACAGACCTTTTGACCCTTTAAAAAAGGCCCCAGGTTTCCTTTTAAAGTCTAGTTGCTACCTAAGACCTAATTCAATCTTCCTTTCAATAAGCTTCAGTATGATGGGAAAGAAATCTAAGAAAGTAGTTATTATTTTCTAAGCAGGCCAATTCTACATACCTGGGTGTGTTCCTGGTGAGGGTGGAGCGGACTCTCTGTGACAGGGAACTAGATGAAGGAGTCTTAAGAAGCTGATGTTCAGGAGTGGTCACAGGCCCCAGGAAACTCACTTCAATCAAAGTTAAGACATATTTTTAAAGGAGGGGGGAAAAAAGAAAGCACCCTTGTAGATGGCCTGTTTTAAGCTGAAACCCCCCATGGAGCACTTAAGAGCTAAGGTTAGAGACCTAGCAAAGTCCCAGAGATCATTTTTATCATCATTTTAGAACATACCTATGTCTTTTGAACTATGCAGGCAAATTAATGCTTAATTAATAGCTGACATTCGCTTCCTGATTCAGGCCATTCTCAAACTCCAAACTTCATAACTATAACATCTAACCAGTTGATTTTTACCTATACTAGAAAAAAACAATATGCTCTCTTAAAAGGAAATTGCAATAATGGAAGAAGAGGTCTCCAATGCCAGTGAGATTAGAATGAAATAGGCCTCACACATTTTTGGTAGCAACACAAACTGGCAAACGCTTTTAAGAAATCAAGTTGGTAAAACATATCAAGAAACATAACAAATTATATCTAAATTATTATTACATCTACATTTTTAAAATGTCCATATGTGTAAAGAAAGGAGAGCATTAAAAAGTAGGAAAAAAATCAGGATGGTAGATTTTCCTTTAATGTTAGAATTCTCAAAATGAATTTAATTTTTATTGAATAATATAAATTTCAAACAACTCTAGTGAAGGCAGGGAGAGGACACGTGACCAAAATTGGACAGGGAGTCAGGTTTTTTAAAAAGCACAACTTGCTAGAGGGAAGCGGGGGAGGGGGGAGGTAGATGGGGTAAAAAGGGTCAAATATGTAATGATAGAAAGAAATCAAACTACGGGAGGTGAACACACAATGTAAACATATATATGCCTTACTGTTAAAATGTACAGCTGAAACTTACCGGATTTTGTTAACAAATGTCACCATAAAAATTAACTAATTTTTTAAAATTA